TTCATTAATTTTATTGCCCGTAACAGACGCGTAAGCTAACTGAAAAGGTTTAAATATGGGTGTTTCAAATATTCAATTATCCTTGAATCACTCTATAAAATCATATTTAGCAAGTACGCGTGAGTTTTCAAAGATTAGGAACCGCAGAACGATACGATACACTTAAACTGCATACAACATTATGTGACACTTTAACAAAATAAATCTTGATTATCTAACTCAGGGGCCACAAAACTACAACTCGCAGGCCGAGTCTGTTTATCAGGTAAGCCTGAATTTTCTTGATTAAAGGCACGGAACACGAGACGTTTTGATACAATTTAAGTTTAATTATTATGTTAACATTTCGGTACTTTGGTAAAAACAATATTAAAAAATACAACAAACTCTAACAATGTTTAAATATTACAGTTATATCAAAATAATTCAATTCAAAAATATTGCAAAATCAACTTTCTAGTTTTTCTTTTTATTTGAGCTATGAATTTTTAAAATGTAAGTTTATTTGATATTTTTTACTCTGTAAAGATAATTTTTATAAGGCAAACATCCATAATGAATAAAATTATTAGTTTTCTTGTTTTTATGTCTAAACTCTAATGTAAAATAAATAATTTTGTTCCTCAGTTCAAATTTTAAAAAAAAAAAAAAATGGAGTGAAAATAATCATGAATTAATCATGGAAAAATATGAAATGCTTAAGCATGTTTATAACGTTTGTCAAAACGCAGGCAATAGTGGAGATAAAAAAAATTTAAAAAAATAATTGTCATACATTTTTTTTTAAAGTAGCAATATGTATTTGTTTCTTTAAATTCAAATAAATTAATTTTTTTCAACTAGGCTTTGGTTTTATAAGCCATCTTCCTTTACTTGTTTTGTTTCCCGATTCTTTTTCTTTTTTTTTAAAATTGATGTTTATTTGAAGGTACACTATTTTACTATCTTAAAAAACGTGTAAAGAAGATGAATCTAAAATAGACCATTAACAGGTAATAACAGATGATTAGTTCAGTCGTGGTTCTATCCCAAACAACCAATTCTAATTGACTGGTATGGCACTCTTTAAGAGTGCATGCAAGTTTAAGCCCACCTGTTTTGCACGGCTATTACTTCAGATGCACCTAGAGACCACGCAGGCATTGATTACAGTGTAAATCCCTGCAAAATGTTCAGAACATATTAACAAATAGAAATCCTAAAAATATGTTAGAATCTTCATCAGATATAGAAGAATCCATTTTGAAGAACAAACACCACATTGGGGCTATGAGGACTGCAGCTTTTTTGAAATATGTAGATCCACCCAGTTATTGGGCAATGAAGCCTGCAGCTTAGGTGGAATATGTAGGTCCCCTACTGTATAGACACCCAACGGTATTGGGGGCTATAAAGTCTACAGTTTGTTGATTGTGTAGACACCCAACGGTACTGGGGGCTAAAAAATTTGCAGTTTGTTGATTGTGTAGACACCCAACAGTATTGGGGGCTTTAAAGTCTGCAGCGTTGTTGGAATATGTAGGTCCCCTACGGTAGTGCGGTCTATGAAGCCTGCAACTAAAGTGAAATAGCAACCTGTGATATTATTGGGCTATAAAGCCTGCAGCTTTGCTGGAATTGCCCCCTACGGTATTGGGGGCTATGAAGCCTTCAACTTAGGTTGAATTGCCCCCTTTGCTTTTTTGGTTCTATAACGTCTTAAGCTTAGGCGTCATTGGCCACTATGGCTTTGGGGGCTATGAATCCTGGAAAGGTGCAAAACCGCCTTAAATATAATTATATAGATTTGTTAACATAAGTAACGAACATATAATTTGTATAACCTACTAGCCAATATACCCGCGATTTGACGGGATAGTATTCGGAACGAATTAATTTCTACCGTCTACAGCATTATAATTCTTCCGGCTCCCTGGGGCTCCCCATCCCGTCAGTATCCCACTGCCGTTAGTATACCGTTTAGCTGTAGGATTTCCCATCACTCTGGCTCGTAATAACCGCATGAGCTGTATCATTCTTCAGCTAATTTCAATATCCCAAAAGGACATCTGAAACGACCTCTTTTTCTAATAGTTTTTGACTTATTTACTAATACATTAATAGAGAAGGGAACATAAAGTGTATTGAGGGAAAATAATAAACACGGCAGACTTCTTGTGAATTTAATCATACATTTCAGGAACATTTTTGACTTTAAAAATGTCTATTTTGCAATCAACAGAGGAATCTCATATATATATGGGACCCCTACACTATCGTAATTAGTTATGGTACTTACAACTTAATAAAACATTTTAAAAAACACAATTAATAACAAAACATAACGTAACAATATTTTAACATCAACATCCCCGCTAGTACTTATTCAAACTATTTTTTAATCCAAGGCACGTGCAGTAATTTTTATTGTGGTGCGGTTTACAAGAGATTAAATAGATTTATTGAAGTACATTTCAACAACAGATGTTCCTTGAAGTGTTGAAGGTATTTGATAATCTCTTCATTGACCAGTCACAGTGTTGTTGTCAATAATTTTGTTTACCCATTGTTAAAAATGGGTTAACACAGTTTACACACCAATTGAGTACGAGGTAACATTCTTTTGACACAATCTTCGATATACTAATTTATTCCAAATAAAGATTGATTTTGTCTCTATACAGACTGATATATATGTTATATACTTGTAAGTTTGTGGTGTATATTTCTTTTATCATATTCGTTTTGGTATATTAGTTACAAAATTATGATTGCGAATAGTTGATGGGAAAAAATGAATCTCTTGTCTATTGCAAATCACGAAAATGCAAAAATACAGTAGACACACCATGTTTGAACAAAGATTCCAGGTGGTTAAAACAAAGTCGTTAGACCATATGGCTCCCGACTAGCTGTAGATCTCAGGCTTGACGCTCCAGCAAAGCTGACTGTCAGGCGACAGATATGGACTGTGCAATCTCCTGTGACTACTGCAACGTATCCTATATGTTTAGTCCAATGCACTAAGACGTTTGCTACATTATGTCACTCTATAAGTTTATTAACTTCATCACCTATCGAATGTTCATGTATCATGACCTCTAAATCTAAAGGATACACAAAATAATTACTACTTTGCAATTCGTCCAAACAGACCCAGCAATACACAACAAATTTCGTCGTGACTATAATTGGCGCCCAAACGGTCCAAGTACTAAGGGACATAAGGATGAGGAGGACAATTAAAATCATATTTTAAAATGATACATTTAAAAAAAAAATATAATCCATTGTAACTTAATAAATCTTATTAATTAGCACTGATTTGATTGTCGTATCTCTGTTATTGATGTTTTTATCATTGGTATCGTCTTGTTATACACTGTTGAAAGTGAGCTATAAACTTCAATTAGGAGATACATTTTCCCCACGTATAGCGGTGCGTAACAAGACCCAAAAAATCACGTAAACACAACACTTTTATCATTCCAAAGCCTAGATCTATTTTTAAGTAGTACGATATCCTAATATCTCCAGACATAAGAAGAACCTCTTAACATCGCCATTCCAATCTCTAAAAAACTTACTTAGACGCCACCCTTTGATCAATGCAAAGCCTAGATCTATTATATGCTAAGTACATCCTAACATCTCCATATATATATGTAGTACATCCTAAAATCGCAACACTACCCTTTACAGACAGGAATCACATGCCCACTCTTACTTACGAAAGCATAATGACACCCTGATTACATTTTCAAATAAGGGCTGTGCTGTTGTCATTTGGGATTGATTAAATAAGCCCATGGACACTTAGATGAGAAAAATGGTACACATACATCAATCAAGAACAACCCATTGCTCACAACATCAAATCTTGGAATATATACAATAATTTCTTGCAGATTCAAAACTTTCAAAATCGAGTTTGGTCATGCAATTATTCAATACTGACTTTCTACAACCGTCTTTCGAATCACAGCCTGACCTTAACAAATTTAGCTACCCTGGTCAGCTTCTGCCCTACAGAACATATCCCATAATTTATCGATGGGATCTTCTCACTTATGACAGCTAAATTTACTAACACGTGCTAAGCACACCAGCAAGGCCTTAAAACATTTCATTCCCTAAACAATCCCATATTAAAAACATATCTTGTTTTTACTGGATGTTTGCCCCTTAAACACGCCATTGCCGCATGCCAACGTGCTTGAGATAGTTCCTGGAAGACAACCTGACTGATTTAGTACCTTTTAATTAAATAAGGATTTATTTGATTACACTCTTAACGGAGCGGACTGTTACGTGAAGTCAATAATGGCAAATACTGTAGCTCTATTTTGTGTCTCTATTTAATAATGCACTAAAACCGATGTGTACTTAATCGCTTGATATTTTTGCCCTTTTCTTTTCAAACAAATCGTTTTTTTTTTAACCTTAAACTCTGTTCATCATGAAAAATTTTCTTTGAAATTCGATTAATTACTATAGCAGTAAAGGCATTAGGTTTAACACACAATGAACTATTATCTCGACAGAAGTACTTAGATTTTTACAGTAAAAACAAATTAACCCGTATTTATTTTCTTCAGAATTTATAGCCCTAATTCAAAAGGTTAACAATCCTTCAAATTGTATGTTAAGAATTCGAAAAAGCATGAATTATAAAAGAAAGCGGTATCCATATTTAATACACATAGTGTAAGTCTATGCATGAAAACAAGTAGTTCTCAACATAAATGTCTTTTAAAAAAAGATACAGGATAAAACTTTTAAGATGATAAGAGTCCTATCAAAGTGTAAAAAGAAAATTGTTGTATCAATTGTTTCTTTAACGTGTGTATTGTTGTACTGGCAATCGCAGAATGGCAACAATAAAAGTGTTAATATTTTACACTTCTATAACTTTAATGAATTTCATAACAAATCTTTGAATTTTAATGAAACACGCTATTATTTTACAATCAAAGAAACGGATGAAATTGATTTGAAAAGACAATACATTACTGATCTTTCAAGATTATACATAGATCATGTGGTGAACTGTTCACGTTTGCTTACCGGAGACAACAATTACACACTAGAAATTATAAAAAAATTGCCCACTTTTAACGAAACTCTTACAGATGACTACTACATTAATGTAACTCAGAACTGTGAAACTTTTCGTCAAAATAGAGGATACATAATGTCATCTTTGACAGAGGAAGAAAGAGAATTTCCAATAGCATTTTCTATTTTAACTTTTAAAAACTCAGAAATGGTGGAACGATTGTTGCGAGCCATCTACAGACCACAAAATTATTACTGCATTCATGTGGACCTAAAGTCGCCTGATTCATTTTTCCTTTCAATCTCTTCTATAGCTAAATGTTTTTCTAACATTTTTCTGTCGAGTAAAAGAATTAACGTAAATTGGGGAATGTTTAGTGTATTAGAACCAGAGCTGTTATGTATGCAGGAACTTTGGCCATACAAAAAATGGAAATATTATATCAACCTGACGGGACAGGAGTTTCCATTAAGGACGAATTTTGAGCTGGTGAACATACTGAAAGCTTACAATGGGGCTAATAATATTGAAGGCATCATAAAAAGGTTTTTTTTTTTCTGTCTATAATTTTTACCTGAAAATATCTTTTAATGTACACTATTACCTGATGATATTAACATTTTAAAGACATATAAATACATCCTAACAATTTCATGAGATGATTTAGATATTTTCAAAACAAATACAAGTATTAATTTAAAAAAAAAAATCTTATGACGTTTTGCTCCAAATTTGTAGGATTATTTGACATTTACATTTTGCTACTGACATTATTTTAAAAAACAAATTTGTATTATAATACCATCCAACTTCTTGAGTAAGTTAAGTGATTCATCTTCAATGGCCTTAACTTGGTGGGCCTAACTTTCTTTAAAATATGTTGTCATATCTAATTGCGTCCTTTTTATAGGTGTTCCCATACTTTGTTTAGCACATCTCCTATTAAAATTTAATTACGTCAGTCTGAACATTCCAGGACTTCATGAGCTTGTTTATGTTTTCATAGCTTGCCTCTGTCCCCAAAATCTTGTATGTTTTTAACTAAAAAGTATGCACTAATTTCATGCGTTTACAATTCAGAAATATTCCAAAGAATTGTTTATTTTAAACGGCTAATTTTCTTCATAAAATATTTGTAATCACATTTTAAAAATGTTTTATTATATATATATATATTTAAAAATGTACTTTACCTTTTAATCTTTAGAGCGAACAAAGATCGATGGAAAAACCGCCCCCCTCCCTTTGGACTAAGACCTGTGAAAGGAGCAGTACACTTAACTGCCAGCAGGTACTCCTGTAAATAAATACAAAGATAAATAGCTATTTATTTCTATTTATTTCAGGAGAATGCTTAAGATATTCTTGTTTTAAATAAGATAAAATAAAATATTTGATAAATGCATTGATCCAGGAGAAAAAAAAATATATCTATCTCGCACACATGACAGCCAGTCTAAAAATTCTACATAAAATTTATCAAAGAACTAACAATAAAAGTTACTAATTGATCCTTAAACTAGTTCACATATTTGGAAGTAATTATGTTCATGGAATCTTTATTTAAAGTTTATTAATCGCGGATTTAGGCCAGAATTGCATCTAAACAGAAACACAGATCATAAAGTGTTGTTTTTCTTAAATTTCTTGTTAAATGTATTTGTTTTTTAAAATTGTTTTTTTTGAAGCGTCTAATTATATTGAGTTTTGGTATATCAAATATTTACATATCAAACTTTATGGTCAATTATTTATAAATTATTTTCAATGTGCATTTTATTTTGATGGACGTCTACTGATTCGTCTATGATGTGTTTAAAGGCATTTTGTGGATTTTCTTCTCCACAACGAGACTGCACTGGCTGTTCTCGACTGGACCAAAACTATTCAAGTACCCGACGAAGCCTACTTTTCAACTCTGAACTTTAACCCCCTGCTTGGCTTGCGTGGCACATATAGAGGTACGGAGGACGTTAAGAAACAAAGTTTACGAACGTGTGATGGCGCTTAAATTTATCGACTTTATTGGTAATAAAGCTGACTGGGCTGTACAGAGTGAGGTATATTTTAAAAGTTTAAATTTATAGCCTAACATTATGGTTATATGTATATTTATACAAATATATATATATGAATAATATATATATATATGAATAATATATATATATATATATATATATATATATGTATATGAATGTGTATATATATAGTATGTAGATATATAGATATATATAAATATATATATATTTCGTAAGTATAATATATAAGCTAGAACTTTAATAAATCTATATATATAAAAGTAACATATTGGACGTTACATGAGAAAGATATCTTCAGTTAGATTTTAATGATAATTTCTTTCGATTTGCATTATACTTAGCTAGGTCATAATGCTTGACTCTTTTTATTATTTTTCTGGGTTTTAAAATCAAATCAATCTATTCTTCTAAGTATGGCCCCCATCTATTTAACTACTTTAAGCACTACTTAATGTACACGTATTCTTTTACTCAATTCATGTACATCGATTTGACATCAATATCAGGTGAGCCCGACAACATGGAGGACTTCATGACGAGGTACAAGATATGGTCTGAGAACAAGACCGTATGCGCCGGTCGTTCTAGTAAATCAATTTGTATTCAAAGTACAGGTAACTTTATTAGGCCGATTCGATGAGATGTACAAGCAGCATATGTTTACGTGTAAAGTTAAGCTTAGGATAATTCTGGGTATTTATCATTATACATACTTCAAGTCAAGACAGCCCTTTAAAGGAGAATATGTCATTGTAATCGTGCGTAGTGCTGGGCTGTAGTAAGTGAGGGCTGTGTTAATAAATGCTGAGATGGTTTCAACGTGTGTTGCATTTAATTTACTTGGTTCACACTGACCAGTAAAAAATATGCTGTAAGCCATACCTTTCTTTGGATGGGAGGCAAAAATCCTCATATCATATCGTTATACATCATTTATACATTACATAAAAGCATTGATTAATTATATACAAATATATTGTGTATATATATATATATATATATATATATATATATATATATATATTGTATATAGGTGTCTATATATTTTTGTATATATATTTATATATATATATATAATTATTATTTTTTCTTATTGTATTTTTATAAAAAAAAAAACACATATAATATATATTTATATAATATATATATAATATAAAAAAAAATATTTAATATATATATATATATAGTGTATATATATATATATATATATATATATATATATATATATATATATATTGTATATAGGGGCCTATATAATTTTGTATATATATTTATATATATTTATATAATTATTATTATTTCGTACCGTATGTTTATAAACAGGTGACCTGGGTCGTCTAGCAAAGGCCAAGCATCTCTTTGCCAACAAGTTCTACCTAGAGGAAGACCGTGTCGTCATTGGATGCCTGGAGGAGAAACTGTTCAACGACACACGGGATGAATTCCTGGGGACTAAAACGTTTGATGAATCTTACTACGCTAATTTAGACTTTGTGAAAAATCAGATCTTATGAGAACAGTTTACATAGTTTGTGAAACAAGATAATATGTTAAAAACTAACAATAAATAAATGGCAATGCAGATAGGTGGAAGTTTTGACTGTATGCCTCCCGTAACATACAATACAATTAACAACTGATACATTTGTTAAAAACGATAACTTAATGTTTTTTGAATATCACAGTTAAGTCCAAGTAGCTCAATGGAAGGGGAAGCACTTTATATATTTTGTCTAAGTTGTACACATCCAAAATGGTCGTCCCACATTGTTCTGTAGTCGGTACTTTTTTTTTTTTTTTTTTTAAAATAAAAATATAAAGAATAATTCATGTAAAAGTTTAAACAATACAATTTACGTCAAAAATGGGGGGAAGTTAAAGATGATTATTAAAAAGTTGTACACATCCAAAATGGTCGTCCCACATTGTTCTGTAGTCGGTACTTTTTTTTTTTTTTTTTTTTAAATAAAAATATAAAGAATAATTCATGTAAAAGTTTAAACAATACAATTTACGTCAGAAATGGGGGGAAGTTAAAGATGATTATTAAGTGTGTATATAATTAATTACGTTAAACTATGATTTTGAGGGCCGGAAAATCTGAATGTGTTTGTTTTATTCGTTCACTTTTGCTTATGTACTAGTGTATCAAGTAGACGTCTTCTCGTCTCACCTTTATAACATAACCAACCTGGGAGGCGTCAGCCTGAAGGTAACTCTGAACGGGATATAAATGTTTAACACCTTTGAAGACAATACACTTTTTTATTTAGTCACAATTGGCAGTTGTAAAAAATTATTATTTCATTACATGATTCTCTTAATGATTATTCCATTACATTATTCTGTTAATGATTATTCCATTACATGATTCTCTTAATGATTATTGCATTACATGATTCTCTTAATGATTATTCCATTACATGATTCTCTTAATGATTATTCCATTACATGATTCCTCCAAACCGATTTTCACTCTAACCCTGAGAAGCAAAATCAAATGTTTAAAAATGAGTTACATACAAAAAAAGTGTATTTGTCATTGTTATATCAGCCTTTCGTTTGTTTTGGTATTTCTTGGATAAACTTCAAACTTTTTTGTTTAAATTTTTTTTTTAAATGTATCAATTAATTTTCCTAGCCATGACATCAAGATATCTTTTTTTTCAATTTTTGGGGGGATCTTGATGTTGTAAGTTTCAATTTTTCAAGTATCTAGGTTGACTTCAAGTTGTCTTTAATTCTAGGCTTTTAAATACGTTTTTATTAAAATTATATGTGTTGTGTTGTTGATTACCATTTATGACGCTTTACTTGCGAATTTAGTACAGAATTTATTTTTTTAAAAAAGACATTTTTTTTAAAAATGACAAAATTTAGCAGATTTACTTTTTTTTAAAAATAGCTATTGTAAAAAAAGTAATTGAAAAAGTAATTCAATAAGTATAAATAATACACTGTAGACAGCTTAGGAATAAGTGGGGCAAGTTGGACAGGAAACGGATCTACTAAACTAACATCCGGAGAGTCCATTTTATAATCTGGTGATGAAGAAGAAGATGCCATGAAGGAGTAGCTCTGATACTGTCACCTGCTGAGAAGAAGGCTCTGATTGATGTGACACAGAGAGAGAAAAAAAACAACTAAATATGTGTATAATAGATACTACTGTTATATAAACCACCATCAAACTAATTTGTTTTCATCACACTGACAGAATGCAACCTTCAACAGCATGCACCAAGTTTTCAAGAGAAAACCTATTTAGAAACCTTCTCAAATGCGTTTAATGGATTAGTGTTACATAACTGTGACTAACGCTTAGCTTATTTTAAATGTATTCTAAAAAGTTAAAATTTCAGTGATTTATATTAAAATTACTTAAAATTCATTAACAGTTTTTTTCTTGTTTTTTTTTGTAAAGACTTTCCATTACTTGCATTTCCATCTCGTTGGGAAATTGTTTTTTAAATCACGTGATATTTTTATGGTGAGCGTTTTTCGTGAAGTGTTTACCTAGTGGACGGCTAAAAATAAGTCATGGTTTGAACAAGGCGTAATGCACTGTCACCGAACTTACCGTGGTTGACGGCGCCTGCTTTGCAGTGTGAACGAGGGGATGTGTGAGCTCAGATCCACTCTTGAGTTTTTTGTCTAAGTGAAAGTTAAGTCTCTTTAACGGGGATTTTGTAAGCCTTCGATGTTTACAAGAATGATTAATTCTATAATTTTTTTGATATTTTAAAGAATACAATATCAATTATAAAGGTAGAACAAAAATTAGAAAAAAAACATATTTGGAAAAAACTTTCTGTTAAAGACCAGTTAAAACGCACTGAATTAGAAAATAATGAAGGATTTCTTAAAATACATTACGTAAAGAAGGTTTTGCAATGTATGTCCAGATTTAACATACTAAAAACAATGAGATTTATTTAAGTTTCAATTCAATTAGAATACTTTCGCTTCATAGGTTGAGCATCTACACTTTCGCAGTGTCTTTCATTGCGTAATGTATTTATTTTAAACAATTTATATTTTTTAGGGCCTTTTAAGTCGTCTTTGTTAGAAAGTCTCTTTTAAAAGATTTAATAGTTACTATTTTTTATTTATTTTGAATATAAGAATAACTTTTGGGACATGCCATGTTTTAAACCTTCCCTTTAAAAATAGCAGGCGTGAAATTACACCAATTCTATTAAATACAATAATCAACTATGGTTTAAACTAAAAACAAACCATTTTTTACACGTGGATCAAGATTCTAAAATTGTTTTGAATAAATAAACTAATCAATAGCATGATAGAAAAACACATATGTATTTAAAAAAAAAGAAATCTTCGACTCTGCGTATTCAACCTCACACACAATATAAGACTCGCAAAGAGATTAAACAAATATGGTGTTTTATTAATAATTCAGGGATTAGAATCGTAAATTATTCCAACAGATGCTGGTTGATCGATACAATTTATTTTCTAATCTTTTTTTCGATTCATGTTAATTTTGCTTTTGTTTTAAATAGGTTTTATTTTTACACATAGGTCGGTTTGAAACTACTGGACTTTCGTTAACTGGCATGATTTCTACAGGTTTTAAAAATGAAATTTTATTTATTTATTTTCTTGTTTTTCCAGATTTTCTTTTATTATTTTTTAATTTTAATTTTAAATTTAGAGCTAGCAAGAACCAATGGTTGAACAAACCAACATCCATTTGAGACCACGAGTAGTTTATATGATATCTACACATAACTTCAACCAGGTGTTTTATTAAACCGGTGCACATAATAAACTTTGACTTAGCATCAAAGTTGTTAAACAACAATCTGTCAAAGTCATCGAACACAACCCAAAGTAGACACCATTTATTGAAAATAATTAAGAGCACTTTAACATTGTTTTAAAAATATATAAATATTTAATACATTTTAATTGATTTAATTGACCTTGCTAAAATGGGTTTTAAAAAAAAATCATTATCTTTGCGGTAGATGTATGAAACGTCCCTAACCCATACTTAATTACTGAGCTCCACGGTCCATTAAAGCTACACGTAATACTGTCTCTATATGTTGAGGCATTACACATTGAACATTCTTATTTTGTAATACTTATTTTTCGTTTTATTAAATGAAGTCATTTTTTTTTTTTTTTTTTAATTTTCCTCAACATAATTTGTTTTCAAATTGGTTTTTTTTAATTAAATATGCACACGTTTAATATCAGTATTTCGTACATGAAATTCCTTTTGTGATGATAGCTGTACGATGAATGTCCGTGTTATTTTGTAGATTGCATTCTCCACAATGAGGCAACACAGTTTTTTTTCTCAACTGGACAACAACATTTCGATTGCCAGACGAAGCCTTTTTTCAACTTTGAAATTTCATAAAAACAACTCAAAAAAAAAAAAAAAAAGATTTGCTTACAAATCCTTTCGATGCATTTTTTTCGCATTTAGGTAACTGTACGTATTTGATTACTTATTAAGAAGCGGTTATGTAATTAGGTAAAATTTTTGCGATATTACGTTTTATTTGTCCTTTATTTGAATCTTTAACATATGTTGTTTTTTTTCCAATCTCAAATACGTCATAAATAGAAATCATTCAGGCTACTGCTACACAATTAATCACCACACCAAAACTTGCACCCATTTAAAAAAAAAGCAATAACTTTCATATCCGTTGAAAATGAGGGGGACGGATGATTTTTTGATGGGGGGGGGGTGGAGGTCTGTGCTCAAAATTTGATGGAGAGTGTTGTAATTCGCAACGGCTCGAGATTTATATCAAAAAGACTGCAACACGTGGGTCAATTAGACTTCCGGAATTTTGCTTCTAACACACGAACATACGAACACATATTATAAAGGATTTAAAAACAACTTAGTGTGGAAGGCACTAATAGGCTTATACATTTTCGGCAATTACTGCTACATAAAACCAAACACAACGTGTTCAGATAATTTGACGTTTCTTTAAAAAGTTTTTACATATAGGCATGGATTTCTACAACATAACGGCCTGTGTCAGAGAATATATTAATGGCCACCGGTTTCTACGTGGCCTGCAATTTTAAATATGTATTGCATCTTAATTGCTCTTTTAACATCTTATTTATAAACTAAGCATCATCCCTAATTTGGTTTCAAGACAATCACTTAAAACGCTCCGAATTCTACTTAAATTATTATAAGTGATTACGAGTGTCGATATGGAATGTCAGGTTATCCAGATGGCATTGGGCTTTTGATTGACAAGATATAAAATAAGTGACTTGACAACACGTGTGTGGTATTTAATCATTGAGAGTAGCCTGTATTTAAAGTACATGTAAATATATGATGATTCAGTAAATTATGCAGTAAATTATGTATATATATATATATTGTATAGACTGTAGCATGATCCCACACTATTAGCAGAAAATCTGGCTACGCTGGGAGGGGAACTTAGAATGAATGCAGTAGGACAGAGGAGTACTTAGATGGGTGGATGATTGGGAAAAGGGATAAAAAAAGCTGGGAATCCAAGCATTGAAAAGAAAAACTTTAGTTAGATCTGAGTGGCAGGAAGAGGTGAGGCAGGTCAAAGCTCTACATGGGTTGTAGCAGCGAATGGATAGATGAATTCATAAATTTATATATATATATATTTATATATATGAAACTTTTGAACCATTATAAACCAATGTGTACCATCTTTCTTATAATACGATGTTATAGAAGAATTTGATTTATTCTAAAACTGGGTCTAATATAAAATCTAAAGCAGTGATTTTCATCATGTGGTCTTCTATTTCATTAACGAGTAATTCATGCCACAATAACTTTTTAATGTTCTGCTTGAATTTTATAGTTTAGTCAACATCAACTTTGTCGAATGTTTTTTAAAAAAAATTACATAAACATAATTAATTTTAATTTATAAATCCTTTCGCCTCTGTTCGTAAAGAGGCAACCTCAATCATTTAGGAAAGGCCTATAATCTCTTAAAAACAAGTTAACCAATTTCGTAGCACTTTACCATGTGTGTGTTGCTTTAGTATGAGTTTGCAGGTTGATGGCTGTGTCTGTGTGTATTTGTGAAATTGAAAGCGCAGAAGAGAAATGTGCTTCTTAACAGTATATAAATAGATGTACATAAGTAAATGATTTACTAATAGATTTGATCTAAATATTAACAACTTTTTTTTTTGTTTTCAAGATTGTCTTACATTTATTTGTTCCATTCTTGTTTTTCTATAAAAATTAATCTTAATTAAGCACAAATTATATTAGTATTATTAAATCGTGAAATGTTTGATTTATCAAATAATTGCATTTGGTTTTGCATCGAAATATAGAAATTTTTAAACAAATACATTAGTCAATCTATAAATCTTCGAAAAAGGGAAATAATTTTAAAATAAATTAAAAATTGTACTATTTTACTAATCATTTCCCTTTAACAATAGTAAAATTGTTTTTCACTAGGTCGTAACGGGGCTCATTTTTTACACCGGTTTGTGGTAGCTTGGGGAATACCCGAAGAATTTAAGTGTCAAAAAAAAAAAGAAAAAAAAAAGATTATTTCTCATTTTCCATAATGTGTGCCGGCCTTTCAACAACTGGCCAACCGACATTCCTACCTGCACGTCTTTAAACCATTGGGCTACAGAAAGTCATACAGACTGTCCTGACAGTATTACAGACTGTTCTTCAGGCAGTGCTACACCCTGTCTACCGGCCTTTAAAACAACAGTCTTACAGAAATTCCCTCAACCTACCTGCTCTACTTTAAACATTAGGCCTACAGACATTCATGCAGGCATTCCTACAGACCTTCATACAGACAGTACTACAGAAAGTCCTATATCATAGCCATGGTTCTATGTTAACAAAACTAATATTATAGTCGCCTCACTAAATGTTCAACCTTTTAAATTGAGTTCAAACGTCACGCATGATCGTCTTTGCTTACAATTTTTTTTTTTAACTCAGTATATAAAACATGTTGAGTAATTGGAGAACTGGTTATGAAAAAAAGCAGCCACACCAGAAGCTACATATAATATATATATATATATATATATATATATATATATATATATATATATATATATAAAAAAAACACACACAAAAAAATATATATAAAATATATATATATATATATATATATATATATATATATATATATAAGAAATGATGCAGCTGAACTAGTGAAGAGGAAAACAAGTATTATTGTTTTGTAATTTTCAAAATAACAAGTAATAGATTAATGGTAATATATTTTAAGTGTTAGATTGATCTGATACATTATTTTTAAAAAAATATATATAATTAAAACATCAAGAATTATCAAAAACTTTCTATAAAATGATTGAGGAAATCTTTAAATTAAAGAGTTTAATACCTTTAATCTTTTTATTGACATTATAATTATAATTTGTATACGTAAATCATACAATTAAATTATAGTAATAATAATAACAAGAATATATAAGTTCTTTAGTCAGTTTCAAACAAAACATAATATACGACACCGTTCATCTCAACAGGATGTAAAAACTTTGAGTCAAGATGAGTCACATTACATCTCTCAAGGAAACTCATTGAACTTTGATCTTGTTCACCTATTCAGAGAAGAAAAAACGTTTTCTATAAAAACAAACATGCAATTATTGTTAGCTATTATGGTGTGTGTATACTTATTAACTCAAACCGTATTGCAAAAGGGAATGAGTAATTTAACTACTCTGATGGAACAGTTGAATCCGTAGTGTTACTGTAAGAGGAAATACAAAGAGCCCTTGAATTTTAAGTCTATTACTCTTCTATATTTTGAGGACCCACGATCAATGTATTGATGTTCTGGCTCCTATAGCTTGTATGTGACTATAATTCAATGAAAAAACAGACAGGCACAATTGAAATCTGAAATTTATGGACCTTTAAATATATAGATAAATATTTTTTTAACTTGTAGGAAAATTCTTTCTTCTTATTTTGTTATAAAAATATTCATTTATAAAAAGCCTAAAGATAAATGTCTGTGCATAGTGTTTAATTTTATACTGCGTTTGTCAAGAAGCTGGAATATTTTATTGCAAGGATAAAGTGATATGAGTCAAACACTGTAAGCAATTAGGCGAATGACAAAAAAAGTTTGTGTTCGGCTCAAGAATGAATCATAATTTAGTATGGACTCATGATTGTAGAGCTCAGATTCAAAAACTCTACTTCACAAGTGTTCATGTCCGATTTTCGTTTTACAGATTTGGAGTAAAATAGAATCACTTTCAACAAGTGCGTGAAATAACATTGCCATACGTTTCTGAACATTTTACTTCCTGCTTCTAATATGTACATTCTATATTCTTCACACACTTTATCAAGATATACGTAATGAAACCGAGTGAATTTCACATACTGATATAGAAAAGACAACTTGTCAAACATGCACATGAATAACGTTGTGCGTGGCTCAAGAGCACGGAAATTGATGATCGTATTTTTTTGTTTTGTGCTTGGAGTAGCTTCTGACGGTAAGTTTTTGAATGTCTAGTAAGTAATATAAAACTGTGTAACTTTACTTTTTTTAAAATTTTTGTTTGAAAACTTAAATAACGGACTTCTAGCTACGTTATAAAGAATGCAAAAATATAATAATAACTAAAGAGACTATGGCTCAACATAAAAACGTATGATGAAGAAATAAATATGATAAGCTGCAAAAATAAAATTGTTTCAATAATTAGTTTATTACACGAACGCATGACAAAATTATGATCAAAATTAACGTAGATGTAAGTTTATAAACACGATGTTATCCTTAAATTAGGAGAGAAAATGAATAATCTTGATACATCAAGTATAAGGTAATTCTTTTTTTTTTCCTTCCAACTATGTTTGTTTATCTTCAAATATTTGAGGTCTACAAAAAGAGGTGTTCAGATCAAAACGTTATGTTGGTTTTTTGCTGTTGTTGTTTTTATTGTTTTATTTTTAAATGTTAATTTATGTTCGTAAGAACCCTTTAATTTGACAATTTGAATTAATAACGAATTTTATCTTTTAATCTTTTTGTTTCAAGAAATATAAAACTACGCATATACAACATCTAAAATTGCATAGCCTTATCGTCTATAGAGGTACTAGTAGCAAGGACGTCATTTAAGTTGGGCAGGGTTGGGTACTCGCCCCACCCCCCCCCCACCTCCCTGCGATTAGTAGGTTTTATTGAAATTGCTATGTACATTTGCGCCTAAGGTAATAAACAACTTGACAAATCAACCTAGTTTTGGTTTAAAGCCCCCCCCCCTTTTTTTCCCTTTTTTAAAACCTGACATGAAGCTCCTACAACAAGATCACATTACGAAATAGTCCAAGTTTAAACCAAAAGGTAATTAATTTGTTTCCGCTGCTATACCTACAGAATTAACCTACTTTATCACCTGTATTAACAGATGTCATCACGACGTGCAGAAATGAACCCAATGAAAAATCAGCTTACGTCGCCCTGGACCAACCGGCAGAGTTGACCTTCTGCGTCAAGTCTGGGTCTCCACTTAGGGACCTGATATTCTACAACGGTATCCCCATGCACATTGGACACAGCGATACGGCGAGGAGCTATTTTACCCAGAGACATAACGAGATGCTGCAAGAAAACATGCTGACTTTTCACATCAGACGGACGTCGCTGGTAGATTATACGAGAAACAGCATCATCCTCCATAACTTAAATGATGGTCAGATTATGCTTTATGCTTTCGTGAAGAATCTTGGTACGTCATTTACTTCATATTAGTAATATTGTTAAAAGAAAACATTATAATGAAATAATTTTTTTTGTACCATTTAGTGCGTCGAAAAAATGTGTAATAAAAGTACTATTTACAACGGATATTTATAGATTTTAGCTAGAAAATTATTTAATTTTTAAATAGAAGCTGCACTGTGCCGTTACATAAAGCCGTCTAAGTGACTGTGACTTGCATCCGAGAACCACGCCTTCCTATAAAAAAATGTATCTTTAGACACCATGTACGAAAAATCACCACATTACATCATCCTGGCCCGCTTATTTGGCTTTGTCAAGCTTTTTTCTACCTGCATCCATTACATAAATACAATTCCATAACTGTGAAAATTTTAAACAATTGAAAAAAACAACCTTTTTACATGGTGTCGTCCGAATAAATATCTCTGAGAACTCTTGTTGCAATTTTTGTTTTCAAAATTTAGCCCTCTCCAGTTTCGTGTGTGCGAAAATCGTGCTTAACCATACAAAACTTTTCCTCCAAAGAGAAACATATTTCCAAGATATGTCCAGCAAAACTTCCTCGACAGCTGAGAAACTTGTGGCGACTGGAGTTATGCAAGGATGGAAAACGAACTTACGCGATAAAGAGTGGGCAGATTCGGCACTGTTACTTTTGATGACATTATGTTTACAAACTTAAAAGTAAAGACATTTTGTATATCTTTTATTCAGGTTTAAATTTCCACAAACAGTTCTCTGTCGGTGAAGTGACACTGACCTGTGAGTCTACCAATACGAGCATTGATCAAGTCTCAATTCATAATCAATGGGACCAGACCCCACTACAGTCGACCGTAGTGGGCAAGACTTTGTTTTCCAAATTTAATGTAAATTGTCACAATGTTGGCCGATACTACTGCAGATCAAGGGACACGAAGGATGAAGAGCAGTTTCTCGATGTCCACAAATCTCTATGTAGGTAGCGATATTTACAAAACTCTAGAACCAATCTCTATGTAGGTATCGATGTTTACATGTCTTTATGTAGGTGTATGATGTGTATAACTCTCTATGTAGCTATCGATTTGAACAAATATCTATGAAGGTATCGATGTGTACAAATCTATCTGTAGGTATCGATAGGTACAAAAATCTATGTAGGTATCGAGATTATAAAAGTTTGAAAACATATCTATTTCGCAAAATCCTGTTGGGGTGATATTTTCTAACATCTTTTCCAGCTAGCTAATATCTCCTAGATGTAAAGTGGCCTCTGTTGTGTATGAATGCAGGGTATGAAAGACTTAGAATTTATATTCTCGTATGCAGTTCTTGTAATGTTGCCTTTTGTATTTAAATGTTGTAAAATATAGATTTGTTTCAATTTTCTTTTTATATGGATGACTTTGTACTGCGCTCCGAGCTTGTGGGGTGAAGCTTAATTTTTAAATACACTTTAACATTATTATTATTATTATGATGTACTGATGTGTAAAAAAATCTATGTATTAATTACATGCTTTAGTGAGTATGTATTTATTAAATCATTCATAATGCTTTAAGGAAATGTTAAATCAAAAGTGTTATTGGAAATGGTACATCATTAAATAAATTAACATTTTAAATTGCTATTTGAGGCATTGGTATATGCTTTTTTAAAAAATAACATAAAATTATTTAGAGAAATATGTAATGACGACTTATTTATATTTCACACCGATATCTATCTCAGGTCCACCCAAATTGTGCAATCCAAATCAAAGCATCAATGACATCTTATCGACTTTAGGACAGTCTGTAACATTCAAAATCTGTGTGATTGCTTACCCCAAACTGTCCAATCAAATAGTTATCAATGGCTGGAAGTATACAGCTAATGGCGTCATGCAAGATAGATTTATGGTTAATCACAAGCAAACCGATATGTACAATTACATCAATGTTACCATTAACCCGGTACAAGAAACTGATGTTCTAAAGGAAAATCAGATCAAGTTTTACACATCGGACAATGCTGAAATGATGCTCAGGTTTTTTCTAAGCTTAAAAGAAGGTAAGAATTGATTTGTTTCTAGCAGTCTTCAAACGTAATTTACATTTAAAATTATATATTTTAAACATCAAAGTTGTAAAGAAATATTCAAAGAGCTAAATCCTTTTTTTTCCCAAAGGACGAGTATCATAAAGATGCCCAAGTATAGGCAGCCTATATTTTCCTTTTAAAACTTTATATTTCTGTTTATTTGTTTCTTTCTTGTATTTTATAAATTTCTATTTCTTTTATGTATTAGTTTATTTAAATAAATAAGGTTTTAATTTTTCAAACAGGTCCACCAGAGTTCTGCAGATCAACCGCCTTAATAAATTCAATATCTGCGCCACTAGGTCAACGTGCCCAAATACCGTTCTGCATTGTCCAGCCCGTGTCCTTCCGTACCAGGAGTCTCAACGTTTCTGTAAATAGCATAGTCTTTCTTCACAGCGGCTGTTCGGGAGGATTTTGCGTAGACTTTTCGAATTCTTCCAGAATAGGGCATAACGTTACGCTGAGTGTCATGAACATGTCCTTGCAGCATTACGGAGTGCTGAGTGTCAAGTTCAGTTGGGCCATGTCAACGAACGAACTGACCACTCAAGTCATGGTTAAACCGATAGGTTAGTGGTTTCAATAGGCACACTTTTAGGTTGCTTTTTTTGTGGTTTTTTTTTGTGTTGTTGTTGTTATTGTTGTTGTTTTGTTCTTGTTTGTGTTCAACTATGTGTAATTAATGTGTGGCTTGTGTTTACTTGCATTCCAATTTTTCATAAAAATTTGTGAACTTTAAGAGTAGTTGTTACACAATTGTAGACCAATATCAACGGGGGATGAAAAATAAAAATAAAACAGCCTGCTTATTGTATACACGCTAGTTGTTAAATGAGTAAAATTCAACATAACTTCAGTATGCTATCTGTTTATGATTATTTAAAATGACCTGAAATATTTATGAGGAAATGCTTAGATAAATAAATTTATCGTATTAAATGTTTTTTCTTGTTATTATTAAATTGTTTTTTAGTAGCACAATTTTTAAAAATGGCTTCGAAATTCCACATGGATAATATCAAATAAATTTCAAATTGTATCATATTCTTTTGAAAACTTTTGTTACAAACATAGAAATGTTGTGAGGATAATGTAAGAATGTGTGTCATCAATATTGTACTTTGAAAAGATGACAAAAAAACACAATATTAAATTGGAACAAAGAATAATTGTTTTTAACAAATAAGATCATTTGAATGTATTCACCATGAAATATCCTAGCTATGAAAAACAGGTCAACTGGAATTAAAGATAGTTCATATATTTATTAAACGCAGGCCCTCCCCAATGTCCCAGTGACATCCAGGTCATCAACCACAGAGACCACCTAGTGAGCATTCGATGGCGACCAGGATACGATGCTGGGGGAGACCAGACCTTCAACGTAACACTAGAAACTGCTGACATTGCGCCTAGAGTTATAGACCAGGGTGAATATACAGCTGATCAGAATGGCACGCTGGGGTTCAGCTTGAACGATCTCGAGGATGACACATCATACAAAGTAAACATCATCCCAGTGAACAAATTTGGGATCAACGACGGCTGCAAATCGACAGGAGTTTTCAAAACAGGTTTGTTACAGCGCCATTTGGTTCAGCATCACACAATATAATAAAATACTTTTTTTTTGAAGCAAAATGTAATTGTGCAATGGTTTAGGTTAGAGAAACTGAGATTTGAGCAAATTGATAATCAATATAAAATCACACGTGCTAATAAAGATTTAAAATAAAATAATAACCACGGATTCAAGCGAACAATATTTTAAATGAGAGCTGCATCTTTACACTGATTTTCTTTTTAAACAGAAAAAATAACGGGGTCCAATAACGTTGAGATTTGTACTATTTTGATGCATGGATACAAATTTTTTATCTCAGTTTGCATATTTGTTAATGTGTGGAAGACAAGAATATATGAAATTTATCAAAAGTTTTTTGTTTTTTTTTTAAAATAAAATCTGTTAGTTTCTTAAATAAGAAACTAAGAGTAGATTACATATTTTGTGTAATACGCGTTAAAGATATTAATTTAGTTTTTGTTTCAAATATAAATTAGGTATGCAATAATATAGCATTAAAAAAAAAAGCATGGTTCTCTTTTTATTCTAATAAAATTTTGGTATCTTATTATATAACAGTAAGAAATGCACTTTTCGTTTTGATAGTATATTTGTATAACTACGTTATCATTTATTTTTATTATTACAAAACATGTATTAAAGAAAAATGTGTATTTGTATTTTTTAAAAAAATATGATAGCTATAATAGATACTAATTGTTTCTCAACTCCTAAAGATTTCACAAAGTCCTTGAACTTCACCTTGAAATGGGCGGACGATAAGAGGTCAATCAGTTTTACATGCAGCACCCCAAGCTTTTCGAGATTGATACATATTTACAAACATCGATTAGTTGACCCTTTGAAATCGTTTAGACCGAATAATATCCGAACCAACACCCCGATGGTCGTCACATACGTCATTCCTAACATCACGTGTCAGTCCATAGGGGAGTACCAATGTGTATTCATCAGTGACAGTGGAGAGAGGGTGACAAAGACACTGGAAGTAAAAGTTGACAAATGTAAGAAAAATAATCCATCGCCCCTTTATGCCATAATTAAGAATGGCGCAAATACAAAGAAATGATTGAAAAATTGTCAAGATTATTTAAAATGTAAGGCTAACACACAATTATATGCATATATATTTATCAATACTGTAAACAATTTAATAATGTGGCTAAAAAAACATTCAAAACAAACAAAACACTGTCATTTGTACATTTTTTTGCTCAGCCTTGAATTTTATCCACAGGTCCACCAATGCCATGTGAGAACCAATTTATTACACCAGGTATCGTCGTGAGGGAGGGCTACACACCGAAGGTTCCACTCTGCTTAATGGCCTACCCTGGCCTAGACAGGAGCGTCGTGGTGAACAGAAATGTCTTACTCCACCTGCCGACCCTCAACAACACAGTCGACATCGAGATGCTATTGAACCAGACGGGGCTGTACCACTACGTCAACATCTCTTTCCGTGGTCCCACCGTCAGCAGGAACACACGCTTCGAGTTCAAATTTACTGCAACGAACCATGAAGAAGCCATATACGAATTCGAATTGATTGCACCAAGTAAAATAGGTAAAATGAACAGCAATTCTAATGAACGTTTATTGATAAACCGCGTGCTTTTTATTTCTATCAATTTCTTCGCTGATTTCAGTGAAAATCTACCTATGCATAATATATTTTGGAATTGAACTAAAACAATTTTTTTTTTTTTTTTTAAGTATTCATATAGAAAAATTCGGAACGAAAATTTAAAAATATATATCTAAAATCAAAGTACATCTTGTAAATCTTTATATGCATTTGTTTTATGAACTAAAACAATTTTTTTTTTTTTTTTTTAAGTATTCATATAGAAAGATTCGGAACGAAAATTTAAAAATATATATCTAAAATCAAAGTACATCTTGTAAATCTTTATATGCATTTGTGTTCGTATTCATGTAATTATACGTTGTTAAACATTTATTAGGAAGCCGTTATGTAAAATTGGTAAACTAACAAAAAGCAAATTTTATATTTCCTTCTTTTTACCCTTCAAAATATAAAAAGTTTTGGACTGCAATAAAGCTTTAAAATAGATTAATAAGACACGAACAAATTGTGTCAACATAACAATATAAGTTACGCTTTAATAATAATTAGACATTATAAACAAGTAAGCTTTCGGCACATGCCTTTATCAGTACCGCGGTAAATTATACATAGGAGAGACAGGTCGTCGCCTTGGGGACCGGTTCAGAGAACACCTCTATAACATGAAAAACAAGCTCTATATCCGGTCTCCAAACATTTCAATAGCCCTAACCATTATGCTATATCAGACATCGCAGTAACTAGTGTACTCTATACTAGTAACACTACAGATATAATCTATATGGAGAAAAAATTAATAACAATAACAATTTTACCCAGCTGCTATGTCTTTTTCCTTTTTGGTTTGTACACTTATGTTCCAATCCCTTCCTTTCTACTCCCCTTTACTTTGTTTGTGTCTGGTTTTAGCGCCCTCTCCTAGTTTTTTTTTTCTTTTTTAGGTAGGATATTTATATTTATATTATGTAAATTTAATTTATACTTATTTAAATGTGTTGTTTTTTTTGTTTGTACTGATGAAGGCATGTGCCAAAAAGTTTGCCTTAAACACTATGCTAATCAAGTTTTAAAAATCATGTCATTCTTCATTAGTATAGCGTTGTAATAGTCATGGTTATAGCAGGCATTTTTAAATTATTTAACTATTTATTGAACATTTATGTTAAATTAATATTTGTAGTTGTTGAATTAATTGTAAATTGGGGGGAGGGGTGAGATTTTCTCACACATACTTACATAAAGCAGTGTCATGTTTCTAAAAAAATGCGTATATTTCTTGTGTTGCGAAGTCATACATTTTGCATGTTATGGGTATATACTATTTACTTACAGGGTCCTCACACAACAACGAGGCGACTGGCAGCCTAGGACAAAAAACCACACTGTTGGCAGTGTTCCTTGTTGTATCACTGTTGTGCACAGTCTTATTCCTTTTGGCGTATCACTTTAGAGGTACTTTCATACCTACAGCTCGTATGTTAATATCAAGGGCATACGATTCTAAATAAGCTATGAATATTCAATCAATCAATATATATATATATACACATATATATATTAAATAGCAATTTAGTTTAACTAAAAACGATTAGCTTGACATTTTCTTATTCTTTTAATTTCCTTTTCAATTTAAATATTTACAGTACGTAACCGTCAGCGCTGTGTTTCATGCAGGAGTCTAGGTAAATATTTTAACATACATTTTTACGCATCATCTTACATCGCTCATAACCATTGTTTTAAAGAGTTCAATTAGCGTTTAGAAATTTTTTTTTTTTTTTTTTTTTCAAATCTCTTCAACGTCATTAACCAAAGATGGCCATCGGTAAGTCCTTTAATGGTTTTCTTTTTGTTCTGCCAAACAGCCTTTTTTGTTAACAATTATTCAGTTAATTAAATTTTTTTTTAATATTTTATTTTTCGTTTTTAATTTTTTTTTTTTTTTTTTTTTCAAATCTCTTCAACGTCATTAACCAAAGATGGCCATCGGTAAGTCCTTTAATGGTGTTACTTTTGTTCTGCCAAACAGGCTTTTTTGTTAACAAGTTATCAGTTAATTAAAATGATGTTTCTCATTTCCCATTTCACAGCTGATTCCACGTACTTACTAGGAGCGTCTTCTCGGAGCATTTCGTCACGCTCTACGACACACGGCACATGGAATCCGCAATACGATGACACCGTCTCCTGCGTCATGAGTAACGGAAAATGGATTCCGCTCACTGAGGTGATGAGTCATGGGAGTCTGTCTCGAAAGAGCTTGAAGGAGCGTCATCTCAAGAGATGTCAAGAATTTGACCTTAATACATCAGCTGACTCGGAGGCCTTACTCATGTGCTCCACTTGCGGCTCTTCAGTTTTTAATAAGAGTATGGACGACCAAGAGGCGTAACGCTGAGTACACATGTAAGACATTTCGAATGGAAAGAAAAAATATATAAATAGTGTATTTACGTATTTTATAGCTTATTTACAATAAAATCAAGTTGATGTCAAGATCCAAGTACATAAAAAAATAATAAAATGTAATATTTATTGTTTTCAATTTAACTACAAATACATCAATGATGTCTTATTTACTTACTTACTTACTCATGCCTTTTACCTCGTCACGGGAATTAACTATAAAATAATTGTCAATTTACCTCGGTCCTCTGCAAATGATGTCTAGATATTAGAAATTGCAGAAGCTAATTTTTGTGTGAATTATAACAATGTCTTTGGTCGTTCTATAAAATCTCTGTCATGGAAATTGTTTTAAAAATGAAGGAAAAAAAAAGGTATTTTTAAATAGTTGTTAAAAATTAAAAAGAAAAAAAAATCATAATTTTGCAGCAAGACAAATTAATTCATATTGGTATACGGTCAATTGTCGTGTAAAAACAAATAGAAGAATATTTCATTTCAAGATGTGAGCTACGGGGGTTTTTTGTTTGTTTTTTCAATTTACCTGCTCATGGAGGTATTTCCTTTTGATTCATATTTCCTATGAGTAAACAATTCAACAAGTTTAATGCAATTGATATTACGAAGCCCAGGTAGTACTGTACAATTTAAAAGTACCTGGTAATATTAAGTTGTTAATTGTAACCATGTAGTAGGATGTCGGACTAAATCATATGATTGGTAAAAAAAAATTGAATATAAGTGCGCAACAACTAAGTTTATAATTTTTAAGTATCTCAAGGTTATATAAATGAATTTAAGAACCCTATAAAAATCCAACATTATAGTTTTAATAATTGAAATTTAAAAATGCATTAAATACTATAATTTACTTAACTTTAACTTGTTTTCATACTGTGTCTGCAATGTACTTCTTTTTTTTTTTAATGTCACATGCAACAGAAAAAACAACAATATGTTCGACATAATATTATCATTCTTTTTGTAAAGAAATAAAATACTTATTGAATTTTTTTCAATCATAATTGAGCTCTTGATGTTCTATAGAAACCCTTTGTGTACATTAATTTTAATCTCATGCTGTAATTTTTGCCATTTTTTTTCATTTTATATTACCTGTAAATATAAATATTATTATTATTATTTTTACTTTTTTAAAAACAAACAATAAACTTGTTAAATACACACTTTTATTTATAGATTAATATATTACTTTTTAATATATATTATAATATTTCGTTTTTCTACAAACATAGTAAAAATAGTGACTCATTTATATTTTATAAAAATAAAAAAAAAAATTAATCTTACACGTGTTTTATTCTTTATGATCGACTTTCTTGTTGTTGTTTTTTTTTTAGGTGTAAGAAGTTTATTTTTTTTATAAATTCATTTTTTATGATTTTGACAAATTTAATACATATCTTTTTTGGCTTTTTTTTTTTTTAAAGCAAAAATTCTATTTTTTTTATAGGTAACCATAAATGATATCAAATAACTATCAAAGCTTAACAAAGTAACAAACAAAATAATTGATGTGTGCCACAGTTTGATGGTTTTTAAAAAAATTTTTTTTTTAAAATTAACAATTGGACAGAAAATACATGTGATTAAAATTGAAAAAAACAACATATTTTTCAATTTTGTTTTTAATTTTTCGTATTTAGCTATGAAAAAAGTCACCTCTGTTGCTATCCATTAGTTCACATAATTACGTGTAATGATAGGCAACTTTTCATCTTCTTTGAAAATTAGATGTATGGAGAAAATTATGCCTAAATTTCTTAGTACACATCTCAGAAGTAAGTGGAATGGTGGTCTGGTATCGGATTCATAGACCATGCTAGAAATGATGTCATTATTGGAGACTACGACTTGCAAAATCCGTGTTTTTGTTAGGGCTCCTAGGAAGGCCTTACAACGGCATCCCGTCATTGAAAAAAAAACTGGTTGAGTGGGACGTCGTCATAATATCTGGGAAGTCTTCTCAATATTTTATTTTTAAACAACTATCGATTTAAAACGATTATTTAGTGACATTCAAATCAATGAAAACAATTTGTTACAAAACATCAGGCATGGGCGATTCCCAATATTCTTTTTTTTTTTCTTTTTTTTTTTTACCATAGACTTCACCAACGTGAAAACCTCCAAGTCGCCCGTGTCTTTGAAGACCGGGCACGACTGGCCACCTTCTGGCAGCATCTTCTGGATTTGCGCCAAGTGCGCAAAGCTTCGGAAAAGGGGAGTCACGCCATAGTGGAATGACTAACAAACAATTGGGACACGCTACTGACACATGCGCCTGTAGAATGAACAACTAAGACAGACGAAATGGAATATGAATAATTTTCAAATGTGTGTACGTTGAAGAAATGATAATAAAAAAATTTCAACCCCTTATTTTGTCTAATAATACAAGGTTTAAAATTTTTTTTAAACAATAATTACTTAGATTATCCCTTAAACCAGTATAGTATCGATGAAGCATAAAAGACTATGAATATATATCATTCGTCCACTTTAACATGTTTAAATAAAGGATTCTTTAAATCAGAAGAATTAGGGTGGGGGTGGAGGGTGTTTATTAACCAATGCACATAAACTACTGTTTGATCTAATTTCCCTTCCAAACAAAACAACTATTTTTTATCATCGAAAACTTAAATATATTTTAATAGTGGTTCTCATTGGATTAAATTTCGGGTCCTTAGCATTTTTATTATTAAACTAACGCTGGCATGAATCAGATAGACGTTTCATACAGTCAACCATTTTAAGAATAGGTGTAGAAGCGATATACAGGTAAACAGTTAATGAATCTCTAAAGAAATTTCATATAATAAACTATTTAATTAACCGGCATAGAAGTTTCGTGCAGTCAAATAATTAAAGAAACTGTATCTACATTTCATACAGACATTGAAAAAAATCTGTATAGACTTTTCTTACCATAAACAATTTCATTAATCTTCATAGGCCTATACATCCACTTATTAAATTTATATATAATTTTCATACAAACATTTAATGAATATGTAAAGACATTTCATACAGTCAACAAACTAAGAAACAAGTAGGACATTTCGCACAGTCAACCAGTAAATTCCCCCAATAATGTAATAACTTAAACTCAGCTATCAACTTCTAACACATGACTCGCAGCTACCAGCTTCTAAGTGTACGCTTTGAAAGAAAACAAACAAATATAATAACTTTATTTTTTTTAAAACATATAATGTTATGAATGCAATATGAAAACATCAATGACAAGATTGTGTATGATTATTTCTAGCTGGGATATGTGAGTCTTCGCAAAAGCAGAATAGACTTAATGGTCTGCATCAGACAAGCTTGAAGTCTGTGACATAAAGGAGTGTAATCGTAAAATGAAAAGGGTGACATAATCTCAGACAGAACATTACATGACTGTAAATGAACGTCCAGACCATTAAAAAATAAATTTAATAAAACTATTTTTAGTCTGCTGGCTGGTAATGAGTTTGGTGAGAGAAATTATCTTTTCGTGGGACTTCTAAAAAAATATCTTCAATTATTTAATTTTTATTTTCCGGAAAGTATCAAGTATCAATACATAATCAATGAGACCAGACCCCGACACAGTCCAACATAGTGGGCAAGACATTAGTTTCTAAATTTAGTGTAACCTGTCGCAATGTCGGTTGATACTACTGCAGATCAAGTAACAAGAAGGATAAAGGGCAGGTTTTGACACGTTCGCAAATCTTTATGTAGGCATCGATGTGGAGAAAAAGATAAAGAGAAGGATGTGAACGGTAATTATTTTCTGCAAAGTTCCAGATTGTTGGGATGACGGGATGTGGGTAAATTCGCATATCGAACATTTTGATTTCAACACACGATTAATAAAATTTAAAATCTGATAATTCTTACTGGTATATCGTTGTAATAGTTACGGTTGTAACAAGCGTTTTTTTCTTATTTAAATATTTAATGAATATTATTGTAAAATGAATATGGCTTGTTGTTAATTTAATTGGAATTTGCGGGGGAGGGGGGGAGTTTTTCTCACACATAATTAAATAAAGCAGTGTCATGTTTCTAAAAAAATGCTTATATTTCGTGTGTTGCTAAGTTATACATTTTGCATGTTATGTGCCTATACTATTTACTAACAGGTTCCTCACACAACACCGAGGAGACTGGCAGCCTAGGACAAAATACCACACTGTTTGCAGTGTTCCTTGTTGTATCACTCTTTTGCACAGTCTTATTCCTTTTGGGGAATCACTTTAGAGGTAATTTCATACCTACAGCTCGTATGTTGAATATCAAGGTAATACAATAAAAAACATAGCTGAAGCTAAGAATATAAAATTCAAATATAAGATATATATATATGTGTATATATATATTTATATATGTATCTATTTATATATATATACATATATGTGTATATTTAAATATATATATATATATATATATATATATATATATATATATATATATATATAAAAAAAAATATTTTTTATGAAAAAATATAAACTTTAATTTCTTTTATATATATATATATGTATATATATATATATATATACATATATGTATATATATAAATATATATATATATATATATATATATATATATATATATATATATATCAAAAGCAATTTAGTTTAACTGAAAAAAGATTAACTTGACTTTCTTTTACTCTTTTAATTTCTCTTTCAATTAAAAAGTTTACAGTTCATAATCGTCAGCGCTGTGTATCATGCAGGAGTCTAGGTAAATATCTTAACATCATTTTTTGCACAACATCTTACATCGCTCATAACCATTGTTTTAAAGAGTTCCATTAGAAGTTAGCGATGTATTTTATTATGTTTAAAAGATATTTAAATAAACATAATTGCCTCATAAATGTTGGTAATATCGATTTGACTAATTATTATCTGACCAAAAAATAAATATTTATTTAAAGTACTGTAACGGATAATGCCTAAAACAAAACGAGATTAGATTAGGATTGCTAGATCAATAACGTTTAATACTGGATTTATTTAAATTTCAACTAAAGTACATTTCTTTCAAATCTCTTCAACATCATTAACCAAAGATGGCCATCATTAAGACCTTTAATGTTATTACTTGGGTTCTGTAAACAGAATGTTTTGTTAACGAAATATCAGTTAATTAAAATGATGTTTCTCATTTCACAGCTGATTCCACGTACTTACTGGGAGCGTCTTCTCGGAGCATTTCGTCAAGCTCTACGACACACGGCACATGGAATCCGCAATACGATGACACTGTCTCCTGCGTCATGAGTAACGGTAAATGGGTTCCGCTAACTGACGTGATGAGCCATGGGAGTTTTTATCGAAATATTTTGAAGAAGCAGCATCTCAAGAGATGTCAAGTATTCCACCTTAATACAACAGCTGAATCTTAGGCCTTACTCATGTTCTCAATTGGCGGCTCGTCAGTTTTAATGAGCGTATGGACAACCAAGAGTCGTAACACTTAATGTACGTGTAAGACAATATGAATGCTAATAAATGCATATATATTTTACGTATTTTAAAGATTAAACATAGTTACAATAAAAATAAGTTAAGTTATATTTCCAAGTCCAAGAATAAATATAAAAAATATTTAAGAATCATAATCTTATATGTATTGTTTTAACAGTGAATAAGCATCCATCAATTATGTCTAATTTACTTATTTAATAATGCCTTTTACCTTGTCTGAGTAATTTACCATCTAAAAGAATGCTCCGATCATCTCGGTCAGTGCAAATGATGTCTAGCTATTACAAATTGCAGAAACTAATTTTTGTATCAATTGTGTTAATGTCTTAGTCGTTCCAGAAAATCTAGAAAAATTGTTTTAAAAATGAAGGAAAATTTAGTTGATTTTTAAAGTTGTAAATAACAAAAAAGAAAAACAACACCAAATAGAATTATAATTTTGAAGCAAGACAAATTTAAATCATAATGGTATACGGACAGTTGCATGAAAAAAAC